CACGCCCAGAGTCACGGAACGGATTAAGTTCGTATCCCGAGGTACCACTGTATTTTGTTAAGTTTTGCAATCTTACAATGGCTGAAATGGGGTTAAGTCATTTTAAAAGATCAACAGGCTGGAACACTGCTTTTATGAGAAAAGGTTTCAGTAATTGGATTTTTCTAGCTTAGAAAAAAGATGAATCAGAGAAATATACGATAGAGCTGTGTACAGTTAATGCTGGATCTGAAGCAAATAAGTAGAGAAGGTTTTTCTCCTTTACTCATTATGCTATAACTTAGACTCATCCAATGAAACAAGTTAGGGGAGAATAAAGATAAGAAGGAAGTGGATCTCCGCACAGTTAAACAATGGAATTTATTCACATACTGTGTGTTATGGTGATGGCCACCAAAAAATTTAGGATGGGATTAGATACATTCATAGAAAGTAAGGCTCTCGATGGCGGCTGGTCATGATAGCCATGTGCTAGCTCTGAAGTCAAAGGCAATATAGTTCCAAATACCAGCCACAGCAGGACAACATCAGGGCACAGCTATTGTTCTCATGTCCTCGTTTTGGATTTCTTGGAGGCCTTTGGTTAGGCCAGTGAGTAAGAGGAAGCTGGACTAAACATTATTTGGTCTGCTGCAGTCAGGTTGTTATACTGTATTCTTTGTTTATGTTGTTATGAATGCATGTTCTTTTCACATTAATACATTTCTGCAGTTTACATCTTCTGTAGAGTTTTAATCATCAGAGAGATTTCCCTGAGCAGTTATCAAAGCTAGCATGCCTGTCACGTGAACTGCTTCCTTCTGAACAAATATAACAAAAATTAGATTCTACTGGCTTTCTTTCAGCAAACTGCCCGTGAATCATGAAATTCTCTTCTTATACAGCTATTCTCCAAACAGCCTTTACAACCCCTGGGGAAGACTGCAGACCGCAATGCTCCTGGAAAGCCAATCCAATACAGAGCAGAAAATGCAATAAATGGAAGGTCACATTAAAAAAAAAAAAAAAAATTAAAACACGCATCCCATGACATGGGAAAAAAGAACAAAAAAATGCAGGCAAACGTTTCTTCTTTTATATGTCACTTTATTTATGCTATAACTTTATTTATACTGCACACAATACATAAAAAAATAATCTAACACATATGGTATATCATTTATTATCTCATTGTTTGAATACCTAATGCCCATTTTTGAATGTTTAATTAGTTTTGGTGCAATTGTGCCAAAAGCAATTCATTTATTTTAATAAATTGTGTACCTTGGTAGAATATGCATTAAGGGCAGGAACATGGATGAAGACATTTTAAGATGTGCAAATGCTGGTAGAAGAGTAGTGGGTAGTATGTGGTATGTTGCAACACATGAATGTTTGTTGAAATAAGCAAAAATGGCTATGTATAACAGCATGTTTCTTCCCAGCTTGTTACATGGAAGTAACAAGTCACAGGAGTCGGGTATATCAGGAGAAACGTGAAAGTAAATGAAATGCAGCAGGAATGGGATGGTAAAGAAGCGTGCATGCTAAAACAAAAAGAGAGAGGGTCAAGACTGGTTGAGGTGGGTTAATCATACCAGGATGGTGAAAGAGGAAGAGTGAATGGATGAATCAGAAGGGGAGGACTGTGAAACTCATGGTTGGATGTTGTTGATGAGATCCTCAAAAAGAGAGGTGAGAATCTTAAAAAACAAAAGGCAATATATATTGGTGCATGAATGTGGAAGAAAGGAAGGTTTGCAAGGATAAAAAGGTAAAGAAAGTTATGGTGAATGGTGTTGGTGCAGATAAGATTTAGCTACCTTTCCTTTTTTTTCTTTTTCTCTCATACTTTTAGGTTCTTTGGTTTATTATTTTTTACTCCTTTTGGTGCCTTGCATACCATTGCTTACCTCAAAAGGGAATAACATGATAAGTATGTATGTATGTATGTCGTTACCATTCTATCCCATAATCTTTTGCCACTCAGAAGCTGTCTAGCACAATCTGAACCACAAAACATGCACTAGGAGGTTCAAAGGCCTGAATCCGCTGAGGAGCTGTCCAGCAGGAGCTAAGTTTACAAGGAGCTGTCCTCCTAGAGCTCTTATAACAGCAATTAACAAGGAAAAATGGAAAACATTTATAGTGGATAAAGTCTCTTTTTGAAGCTCAGATCCAACACTTGCCTCCTTCAAATATAAGGGAAGATCTATCAGGGCAGGTGTAGGACATCAATGATAGTTTTCAAATAAAAGTAGAAATTATAGCAAACACTAGAACAAAATCAAATCCAAAATAAAGAATAATAAAAATATAATCATATTTAAAAATTGTTGCATGGTCAATTAGGTGCATGTAATGGATGGGCAGATTGTGTCCTCAAAATGTATTTATTGTTGATTTTATACCAGCATACTCTTGCCATGCCAGCATGCAGCAGTTTACAGCCATGAACAGCATTAAACATCATCAGCTAATAAAAGCATCAAAACAAAAATGATAAATGATAGCAACTAAAAGAGTACATAAAATTGAGAACAGCCATTATACTTAAGTTATAGAGATAAAGTGCTATGGTTAAAGAGGGAATTCTTGCTTATAAAAATAGGTTTTCAACTTTCTCAGCTGGTGAGAATGAAGTTCACTGCTCTGGGGAGAGGACCTGGGCCTAGTTGTATCTAGATGGGCATTCTTTTTTGGTGGCACTCATAATAAGCTCATGGAGGATGAACGGCACTCCTAGTTGGTACATAATGGGAAGTCATTCCTTTAGGTAGGCAGGACACAAACCGTAAAGGGATCTATATGTGGAATAATTTTCCACCTACTTACTTAGACCCACTTAAAGATATCAACAGCAGCAGTGATAATAAAACCATAGCATTGCTTGGCTATTCAGTAGATACAGATTGCAATCCACTTTAACCTAAGTGGTGATTGGCCAGGCCCTGAATTCCACCACCAACTACCTGACTGCTATTGTTGGGATGTCTTCCCCATCACTCAAGTGATTTCCACTTGCCAACAATTTAATAACTACTACTGCTTGCCTTAGTCATGTAGGAATGGTCTATCCAGTATGTCTGAATCATAGGAATCAGGAGTGTTATAAATGTTCTTGAAACTAGAATGGTCAAAGGAGAACGCCAATTCTTATGTAGTCAAACTGTACAACCCGCATTCAAAAAGGGAAATCCTGAAGTTTATGCTCAAGGGATGTGGAATGCTGTTTGCTATAAGACGGGTCAGAAAAGAAGAATGAAATATCTGGATGAGGACTTGGTTGTAAAGCTGCAAACTGAGTAGAAGGATTTCACACCACACAAGGGCACCCTCAAAGGGGCAGGACTTTGATCACACGGTGTCAACTGCCATATTGGTTTTTTGAACCCCTGTGCAAATGCCCCCACAGGATTTAAAGTGAGAGTAGAAATTGATTTCTGAAATTTTGGCAAGTTAGCCAAGCCAGTACCTTGTTGAGGAGGGGCAGGAGGAACCAATGTTCATTCTCTCTCTCTCTCTCTCTCTCTTTTAAAAAAAACTGCTGTAATTGACTCCTGTGTAGCCAAAACAGCGTATGATGGATTATTGAGAGCAAACTGTATCCCTAGTTATTGATACAGGCCAGGTTTGTATGTTAAAGCAAACCCTTCTTCCCAGTCATTTGAGCTACTAAAAATAATATTGTGGAGGATTGGGAAAATTAAACCAGACCGCGTTGGCATCCAGCACCCATAAAACGTTGAGAAACATTCTTGGCTGACAAAGGGAGGTACAGGATCAAACAGGTGTCAGCTGAAGGCCACAAAAGCAGAGAGGAGGCATGTGACTGCTTAAGAGTGCCTCCTCCCCCACTGCTCTCACCCGCCAGAAGAATGTTTAATGAACTGCAATCTGTTAAACTGTCTGAGGTAGCCTTAACAATAGGGCTATTCACCCATTATGTTCTCCTGGCCTTCTGTGTCAACCTACCGAATGAGTTGAATAGGGGAAAGGGCGGACAAAGGGAGTTATTTGGGCTGTGACTGACTCAGCCAACGCCACAAGGGCTTTGGGCCCATTTAATCATCCTCTCTGCGTTTGAACAATAACAAGTAAACAATCCCACCCTTTGCAGTGGTCTCTTTATATTTTATATTTGCACCCTTTATACCTTTATAAAATATCACCAGACAAAACATCACGAAGTGAACTGGTTTCCTTGTTTCTTCACTTTTTCTAAGTGCCCTGGTCTACTTACTTCATTTTATTTTAAAAAAAAAACTTAAGGTTGCATGTTGTCATGAATAATGGCCAGGGACTGGTTGCTTCGTTGGCTGTTCTGAATCTAGAATTATGCAGAATCTGATAAATAAACTTATTTTGAATGGAGTGCACTTGGAAGTTCCAGCTGCATCAGTTTTAGCTGTTCTAAGCTTTGACAAACATAGTATGATGTTGAGATATATGTATATAGATATATAGATATATATTTCTCTACATTTTGATGTGCAGTTAAATCATATGGAGGAGGGTAGACACTTACATGCAGCAGAAGGTAGACACCAAATGCTTATAACATGTCTGTTGGGGTAACATGTCTGTTGGGGTTTGTTTATTTATTAGATTTACGTCTCACCTTTCCTTCAGAAGTTCAAGATATTGTAGATAGCACTCCGTCTTCAATTTTTCCTACAAGAAAAAGCCCCTGAGGTAGGATGGGCTGAGAGAGAGGGACTAGTCCAAAGTAATCCAGTGACCTTCTGTGGCTGAAGGTGGACTTGAATTTGGGCTTTTAGAGTTCTATTCTAACACCTAAACTGCTTCACCACACTAAGGGATTAAGTCCTTTGTCAAGGGCATTGGTGCTACAATTAGAACTAGGACTATTCTGGGGTACTTTCTTTCATTCCTGTTTCCAATTAAATGCATTTCAAAGACTGCATTTGGAAGGCACAGCAAGGCTGACTTATAGATGGCTGAGAATGTTCCCTCTCTGCAAATGGCATGGCTACACAGTACCCACCTGAGTTTAACTCTGAAGTTATCTTGACACTGGAATACACCACAAATGGTTTGTTTCTGCAAGAACAAGCAAGCAAGAGGAAACTGAAACAAATCTTGGGTTCTTGTGCAGGCTTGTTCCAGCTGCCAAAAGTCATTGTGCCATATTCAGATGATGCAGCAACCTCAGAACAAGCCAGAATATGACAAGCTGCAAAATGATGCTGGGAATAAGAGGTCTTCACCTACAGTCTTGATTCTTTGTCAATATTATGCACTGGCCAAATTCCAGATTGAGGACTTTTGTTAGAATCTCCATCACTCAGAAACTGTTAGTTTCCAGGTCAGGTTCTAACTATGGAAGAGAGCATTTATTTGTCTTGTAAGTTAGTGATTTCTGATGGAAATCAAAACTGAAATTATGTTTGTCAAAGGGTGCTGTTTATTCAGACTTTCTATTTGGGTAGGCTTTAGGAGGAAAAGCACATGTTATCATCAACTTAGTTTCTTTTCTTTGACTGTTGTTTACATGTAAGTGCAGGCTTTTGAGCTGTACATGAGCCAAGCAGATTCTTTATGGCTCCAAATTCTGTAAATAGTTTACATAGGCTCACTTCAAGATTACAAATAGATTATTTTCATCCCAAACAGACCTATTCCATTTCCCATGTGGGTTAAACTTTGGATAGCCTAAGTAGCCAATCTCACAGCTGCTGCCTTACAATTCATTCTGGACCAGGATAGAAAAGAAATAGTAATGAAATTTAATGAAAGAAGTTCATATTAAAAAATAACAGCAGTTAGCCTAGCCTAACGTAAGTCATGCTTATTAGGAAATAACTTTCACTTACTGGGGATAGTAGATGTCATTCTCATAATCAGTGCCACATGGCATAATTAAATTAAAACTAACAGAAATTATTGATTGTTAATATATGTATGACATATCTATTTCATTTCTCAAAATAAATATTTAGCCATTGATTAAATTTTGTCAATGCTCATGAGACTGTA